ATCCAGCAGAGTCAGTTGGTTACTATGAATTCCAAATTCGAGCTGCTTGCCTATATGTCGATGACTTACTGGCAACTTTTTCTTTCACAAATACACCACCTTTCAAGAGAGTGTAGGGAAAATCTGTAAGCTTTTTAACATGCCTCTGGACAATCAACAGCTTATTGGTTTTGACCACTTTATTTCTAATATACATGAATGTATACATACATATATATACAAAATCCATACTGCAATATACATACTTCTTTTCTCATCTGATGATTTTCTTAGACAAATGTCAGTTTTGACTTATTTTTGGTAATCTCTCTCTCTTTTTTTTTTTTTTTTTTTTCTGTATTTTCCAAGTTTATGTTTCTCTTTAGTTCATTCCTCTGGTCTCTCCATTTCTCTCTTTCATGCGCATGTGCACAAGCGCTCTCTTGCTCTCATTTTTTTTTCTTTTTTTTTTGGTTGTGTGTGTGTTTCAGTTTTTTAAAAGAACTTTGGATTTGCCGTTGGTGGGCAGCGCCGGTCCCTGGAGGCTGGACCCCCACGTGGCAGGGCTAGGACGAGGGGCGGGCCCACGGCTGCTGAGAGGATCTCTGTGTTTAAAGCCTTTGAGAATAAGTTACTGCAGTTCCCAGGGTGCGGGGTGGGGGTTGGCAGAGGGGTTCCTGGCGGCGGCTTCCCCCAGAGTCCAGGCCGCAGGGGCTCCCCCTTCAGGTGAGAAGAGGGTTAGGCGGGAGAGGGTGAGAAGAGTGAGCTGGGAGCACTTCTCCCCTGCCAACCTCCAGTTTGGTTAGAGTTTTTGTGGGCTCCCTGCCCACCCGGGCTCCAACCTTGGGAGCCAGCTGGGTATTTGGAAAGAGTTTGTGAGCGGCAAGGCGCTCTATACAGGGGGTAGCACAAGGGGGAGTGGCAGTTTATTTTTCTTCCCCCATCTTTGCCTTGGGTTTTCTTTTTCCTTTCTTCTTCTTCTTCCTTTTTTTTTTTTTTTGGTGTTTTCTCAGTCAGTGGAACATCATGGGATAACGTGTGTGTGTATGTGCACGCGCGTGTGTATGTGTATTGACTGGGAGGGGGGTGCGGAATTCAGTGAGGAAAAGGCAGGTGGAGCCAAGGACAGATTTTGTGTGCAGCGTGCAGACGTGTGAATAATCAGGATGCCAAGATGGGTGTGTATGTCTGTGAAGACATGGGGCAAGGGCTACATCTGCAAGGGGCTGAGGATGAAGATCAGAGTGTGTCTGTGGGGGTGGGGAGGAGGCAGGACTCTGCTGGAGGTGGGGTGTGTGAAGCCCACCGAGGGTGGGAACCGAAAGATTCCCATGAGGTGGGCAGAGCCGAGGGTTGGGGTGAGGGATTTGAGCTCCCACCAAATACCCCTTGGGGTAAAAGAGGGAGCCCTAAGGCCCTCCCCTCTCCCCATCTTGGTTTATCTGTTTATAAAGCTAGAAGTGTAGAGGTAGTAGTAGTTTTTGGGTTGGTGTCCGTGTGAGGTAATCTTGCTTCCTCTTTGGCAAAAGCCACAGCAGCCGTGGCAGCAGTGGCAGTGTTGGTGACGGTGATGGGTGGGCCCCCTGGGGGCGGGGCTGCCTTCCGCCTGTGGGCCGAGGAGCGCAGGTGGGAGGCCAGGGCTTCACGCCCACTCAGCAGCACCTCACACGCCAGGCAGTGGTAGGTGCAGATGGGCACCCGCAGCGGAGGGGGCATGGAGCCCCCAGAGCCCCGCCCAAAGAAGCAAAAGGATCTCTGGTGGGCAGTAGCCGGGGCCTCCCCATCAAATGCCATCTTGCACTGGCGGCACAGGTAGCGGTGGGTCACATCCACGGTGGAGATGCCAGTGCTGCCTGTCAGCAGCTCATCGGCCTCACCAGCCTCCCCCTCCCCTGGAGCGGGCAGTTCAGGGGGCTGTGGAGGCGCTGTGGCTGTGGGTTCGGGGGGCTGGGGTGGTGGCTGGAGGAGGGCATTGGGGAGCAGCCCAATGAGGGTCTGAGGTATCACGGGGTTCATGGGAAAGAGCCCCTTCTTCATGCCATAGAGCTGTTGGAAGTAGGCCCCCTGTAATTGGGGGCCAAAGACAGCTGGCGGTGCTGTCCCCCCTGCAGGGGGCAATGGGAAGGGCAGGAACTGGCCCCCCAACAGGGCTGGGACAGTGGCCTTCAATGCTTTGAGGTTCTTGAGGGCATCATTGGAGGAGTTGGTGGGGGCTGCAACTGGCTTTCGCTCACCAGAGACCGTGTCTCCTGAGGGCTCAGTAGGGGTGCCCAGGACAGGGTCAGTGGTGCCTGCAGTGGAGGTGTTGGTTTGGTCGGGCACAGGTCTCTGAGGTAAGGGGCGGCCTGGGCCAGCAGTCTGGACCACTGTGGTAGTAGGCAGGACCGAAGTGGCGAGGCCAAGGAGGCCTGAGGAAGCTGCAGGGCCTAAGGAAGATGAAAGGAGTAAAAAAAGGTTAGCACCTCCTGCCCCATTGTCCTTCCTGCTGTAGGTGACCACCCAGCTGCTGTGCTCCTTCCCTCCCCCCAAGAGCCTGAAGCAAAGGAAGGCCATAGGAGACTGTACATAAGAAGAGTCAAGAAGGAAAAGGAAGGGAATATCATTAGAAGGAGACATTCTCTGAAGTACAACTCTTCCATCCTCCCACTCACCTGAATTGAAAGGAGCTAAGCTGCCCAGTGGGGGCTGGGCCAGAGCTGGACCAGACAAGAGGACTGGGGCCAGGCGAGGCAGGGCTGGGGCAGACCCGAGGGGCACAGAGGCAGGTGTGGTGGCAGGTGGGGCCTTGGGAGCTGGGGGTGCCTCGGGTGCCGGAGCCAAGTCGTAGCACTTGCTTTCACTTTTCAGCTGGGCCCGGACCGCTTCCTTGAGCTTGGCCAGGTGCTGACGGGAAAAGAGATGGCCTCGGCAGGAGACATAGAAATCATACTTGACATCACAGTAGGGGCAGTCAGTGCGCTGGGCCGCCAAGGGGCCCTCACTGCTGCCCCCGGTGCCCCCAACAGCTGCCCCCTGCAGTTTGGCCTTCTTTTCCTTGGCACGAGCATTCTGGAACCAGACCTGGATGACCCTCTTGGGCAACCCAATCTCCTCCCCCAGCACCTCACACTCCTGCATGGTGGGGGTGCGGTAGGCTTCATAGCAGGCTTTCATGATCTTCAGCTGCAGGCTGCTCATCTGGGTCCTGTAGCGCCGTTGCCCCATTCCATCTGGAACCCCAGTCCCACCTCCTGGTCCCCCACTGGTCCCTCCAGCCCCAGGGGACTCTGGTTCAGCTAAGCTGGAAGCAGATGAATCACTCAGATCTCCTGCAGACGGACTGCAAGCCTCACTCTCTGGAGACGCTTTAGAGGGTTCCTCTGGGCCCTCATCCTCACTGGGTGGAGGGGGAGGTGGGAGAGGTAGAGGTGGCTCTGGTATTGGGGTGGTGCCCTCTTTCCCAGGTGGTAGGAAAGGCAGGGGCCCAGCAGCAGGAGTAACTGTGGGATAGGGAAAGGCAGGTGCTTCCCTCTTTAGGGCCTCCCTCCCCATCCCATCATCTACCTTGCCCAATAAGAGGTTGAACTTGGGGAAGGCTGCAGGGGTGGGTGTGATGGGGGGTTTGACTGCCGGACTGGACACTCCCCCCGGAGTGCTTCGAAACTGGCCTTTCCTCTCCCGGGCCCTGGTGTTCTGGAACCAGACCTGTACCACTCGCTTTTTGAGCCCCACCTCCTCGGAGATGCAGTCGAGCATCTTGCGAGTCGGGTTGGAGTCCTGCATGTACCAACGGTATAGGATCTCTAGCTGCTCGGGCAGGATGGTGGTGCGCAGGCGCTTGTCCCTGGGGGGCTCGCCCTCTCCACCTCCCCCTGCTTCACTGCCTGTGGGGGACAAGCTGCCATCCTCATGTTTCCGTTTGAGAGGTGGCCCTGGCACTGGTAGGGTGCCTGCTATCAGGGGATTTCGCTCCCCAAACACCAGCAAGGGTAGATCTAGGAGTTGGGGGGGAGCGCTGGGCTGCACAGATGGCAGGAAATGTAATCGGCGGTGATTGGTCAGGAGGTCCTGGCTGGGGAAAGAGATGGCACACTGGTCACAGGTGTGGGCTGGAGGAGGTGAGGAAGGCGGCTTCTCTTCAGGGTCTTTGCCTCCTGGCTTCGTTGCCTCTGCTTGGCTTAGCTCCTCCCCATCTGTAGGTTCTGGTGATGGACCCTCAGGCCCTGCTGGGGGTTCAAGGCCCTGTTCCTCCTCTACTTCTTCCTCTACCTCTTCCTCCTCTTCCCCTCTCTCTGCCTCTTCCTCCTCCTCTTCAGGGGTCTGGTCATCATAGCACTTCTTGAGGTGCCGCACCAACTCAAAAACACAGGAGAAAGTAGCATGGCAACGCCTGCAGCCTGAGGCTCCCCCAGTATTGCCTCCTATTGGCACAGGGCCACCCTCACAGGCATTTTTGCGCGCTTTCTGGCGGGCATTCTGGAACCACACTACGACCACACGGCTAGCCAGACCCAAGAGACTTGCAAGCCGCTCCACCTCTCCGTCCTTAGGGTACGCACTGGTCTCAAAGAAAGACTGCAGGGCTTGGGTCTGGAACTCTGTGAACTTGGTTCTGGAGAACCGTCGGCCTGCAGGCACTAGGGGAGGAAGATTCCCTCTGGCACCTTCTTCCTCCTCTGCTGGCCAGCGTCCTCCTGGCCGGCTTCGCTCTTCAGGAGCATGGGTCCCCCCTGCCTCAGGCTCTGGGACCAGGAAGGGTGGACCCAGTTGGGGAGCAGAAGAATCCACAGACCCATCGGGAGGTTTGGGGGGCTCTGCAGGGGGTGGGTACAGGCTATCATAGCTTTTACGAAACTGAGCAGCATAACGGCTCAGGGCCTCAAAGGGCAGAAAGCGGCGGTGGACGTGCTCCTCGTGTGTCTTGAGGATAAGCATATTGGAGAAGAGTTTCCCACAGGCTCCACAGGCCAGCTTGTCCCCACCTCCCAGGGTCTCGGGTGGGGGTGGAGTTGGGGGAGGGGGCACAGCCTGCTTCCCTTCATTGTACTGGATCACCAGCTCAAAGCCAAAGTTTTCTAGAAGGGCTTTGGCTGCAGTGCGGGCAGCCTCGTTGGGTGTTGGGTGGGGGGGTGAGGAGGGCCCTGCCTCATTCCCCTCTTTGGCCATGGGGGGCTGTTCCCACTCCCGCTCAGCCAGCTCAGCCTTGGGGGGTGGGGGTGGGGGAGGAGGAGTGGCAGCTGGCAGGGACAACATAGGCGCAGGCCCAGCCAGCGCCAGCTTGGGCCCCACCTTGAGGTCATGGAGGTAGAAGGGCAGGAGCAGCTGCTGCTGCTGGAGCTTAAGCAGTGATTCGGGCACCAGAGGGAAGGGGGGCAGGACTGGTGGGGTGAAGAGGGGGGCCGGGAATCGGTGCAGGTCCAAGGGAGGGGGGGGAGGGGACAGGAAGGGCAATCCAGGTATAAAGCCACTGGGGTCGGGGCCCTTCTTCTCAGTGCCTGCCTCCCCTTCAGTCTCGCCTTCCTTGGGCTCTTCTTGGCTGCGCTCTGGCCCCTCAGTCTTGGCATCAGTCTTGGCCCCCCGAGAGCGAGTCTGATGTAGAACTGACCGCATGTGGATCTCCAGGGTGGAGCTCTGGTTGTAGGAGACTCGGCACACTGTGCACTTAAAGGGCTTGTCAGTGGCAGCAGTGGTGGTAGGCGGGGCACCAGCCTCCCCTCGGGCAGGGGCAGAGGGGTCAATGGCAGCCTTCTTCATCTTATGAAGGTGGGAGACAGAATTATAATGAACCAAGAGGATATTCTTCTGGGTGAAGGACTCCTTACACACAGTGCACTTATAGGGCCGGGCAGGGTCAAGAAACTTGTCCAGGGCAAAGTTGGTGGTCTTCCGATAGGTCAGAGGGTGGCGAGAGTCAGCTGGAGCTGGCTCTGCAGAGCGGGGCTCCCCAGCAGTCCCCTCTTCCTCCTCAGCCATGGTGGGTGGAGGAGCCACTTCTTCAGCTTGGGCATCAGGCTGAGGGGCTGGAGATGGGGCTGGAGAAGGGGGTTGACCAGGGCTTTCTGAGGGCTTGTCTGGGGCCTCGGCTGAGGCCAGGGGAGGCTCAGGAAGAGGATCTGGACTGTCTTCTGGAGTCAGGTTAGGGCATTCTAGAGGAGAGAGAAGAAGGTACAATGAGCAGATGCCACCCACTCAATATACAGGGCAACTGACCCTGGCCTCAGTTGTCTTCAGACCTTCTTGGTCCATGGAGCCCAGGTCCTCTTTCCTGCCACCTTGGGAGGTTTGCTGTCCCCTTCCTTACCTGATGCATGGTCTCTGCTGGGTACAGGCTCTGGTCCAGGAGTAGGGGCTTCTGGGCCATCCTCCAGAGGGCTAAGTGTGGGTGCAGGCAGCACTTTGGTCATAAAGGTCATCTCTACAGTTGTGGCCTGCGATGGGAGAGATCCTGGTGGCTTCTCCACCACCTGTGCTACCCCGACTCCTCTGCACCGCACCTGTGCTGAGCTCCCTTCCTCAGATCAGCCTTCTCTCTGGACAAACCTCCCACCTAATTGCTGCTTTTCCCACAGACTAGAAAGCCTGGGCTGCTGCCTTTCCTCTCTGGTTCCCTCTTTCCCCAGGCCAAAAGTCTGCCTTCCTTGCGGCACCTGGTCGTGGCAGGCCTGTGCCTGTTCAACAACTCTTCTCAGGACTTAATGGAAGTGAAAAAATGCTTAGTTTCCTCATCCGTGAGTAGAGGCAGCTAGACAAGCTCAGTTCTGAGGACCCCTCCAACTCTAAAATCTGTGAAATGCTACTTTCTTCATCAGCAACCACCCTCACACACATACACCTGCCTGGATACCCCTGCCCCGTCCTCCCCTCCTGTGCAGCCCTGGCAAGGCCACACTGGATCATCCTCAGCCAGCCTGTACTCACCACAAGCAGCAGCTTCTCCACGCACTCGGGCACCACGTTGTGAAGGTGGCTAAGGTGGAAGTGCAGGGCGGGCCGGCCCACCAGCTGCTCCTGGCACAGTGGGCACCTGTACTTGGGCTGCACTGCATGCTGGGAGAGTGCATGAGCTCTCACCTGGTCAGATTCTGGGCTCAGGAAGCTGCAGTACGGACAGCAATATACCTGTGGGCACATATGGTTGGTGGAGGAGGTGTTAGGGAAGGGTTTGGATTCCTCAGTGCAGCACTGGCCTCCACTCCCAATTTAAGAGGAGCAAGCTGGATAGAAAACCATCACAGCAGACCCAGTGTCCAGCCTCAAGTCCTGAAATCTGGCTCCTCCCTTATTTCCTTGGATTGGCACAAAGTCCTAGCCTAGGCCACTACCTCACATTACCTCCTTGTCTGGCCTTCTCCCTCCACCCTGGCCTCTCTCTACCTTTTCTTGGTGTGTTTTTTCCCAGAGTCTGCTGCCCTACTCAATTTTCTACAGCTGACAGATGGCCCTGTACCTGCTCCCGACCTTGGGTTTAGTTTTCTTTTCTTACCCACCCCCACCTTGCCTATGTCTTCTCTGTGAAATGGCTCCATTTCCTCTGGGCACTTTCTGGACCCAGAGCCTCCCTTGTCCCTGCCCACTCTGCCTCTCTGTCTCCTGAAGAGGGGTGCCGCCTGTCTGCTCAGAAGCCAGCCCATGTCCCCTTGGGCTCAGCAGCTCCCACTTTGTTTTCCATCCGTTCTTCTCCTGAATATAAACAAACACCACAGCTCCCCCAGTGGCCCAGGAAAATTCTGGCCCAGCCCTCTCAGCACATTCTCAGTAAATTCTCGCCCACACTCCAGAGGGGTGGGGCTGCAAAGGCCTGCTGTCACCTGACTGCCTGACCTGTCCAGCCTGCATGTTGCCTGCTGCCTCAGACCAGGCTTGTCTTCCTAGCTTACTTCCTGTCCTGTCGCCTGTGCCTTTGGTCCAGGCCTGTGTGTCAGGGAGGGGATGGCCACAAAGGAAGGGGACCCAGGTGCTCATCTTAATGCACTCAGCCCTTGGCTCAGAGATCTGGAATAGGTCTGTTAGAGGGAACAGAAGTTAGGAAGAAGAGAAGCTGGGGACATAAAGCATGGTTGCAGTTTGCATATTGCAGTCTAGTCGGGAGAGCTGTGAGGCACAGGATGGCATCTCAAGACCAGAGGCTGGGAATTCCCTCAGAATCAACACTTTCAGGCCATAGAGCTAAACTACTTCTAGGTCTTGCTTAGGTTTGAGTCCTGGGGATTTAAAGATTTGTGGGACAGGCTGTCAGGGTGAATCATTTGGTTGGTGCCTCCACCCTCAAGAAGAGGATGCCAGGATAGTTCTGTCCAGGCTCAGGGCTTTCTGTCAGATATGAATGTCTGTGTCTAGTTGTCTTTCTGCTCCTGAGGAGTGAAGAGCTGGGCAGCAGCTGGTTTGTGCTTTTGCCTTTCTCTTTTCATTTCTTCGCCTCTTTCCTCCCCTCCTTCCTCTACCTGCCTCCAGTATTTCCTGCCTTCGATATAGTTCCTCTCTTCACCTTTCCCTCAAGTTCCTGCCATCCGTTCCTCTCATGTCCCTGTGTTCCACCCTTTGGGGCCAGCTCTACCCCCATATGGTGCTGAACTTATGTAACTGGACCTGGGCGGCATTTCCTAAATGTGCTGTTCTAAGTGAAATAAGTCACAAGCATGACAAAATTCGGTCTTCCTTTAGAATATGAGCGTATCTCAGTAAAGCCAGACCCCCACCTCAGCACTTCCCAGTTACCCCAGTTCTGACCATGGTCTGGTTGGCACTGTCTCTGGAATGGCTGGTCTTGTTCTCTGCCTCTTCAGAAGCTGAGGATGAAAGGAGAGGACATTAAGGGACTGATAGCCCTCCTTCCCGTCACAGACCCCCAGCCCTTAAGATGATTTGTAGCAGAGCACTTCCAGGGTAGGGGGTTGGGCTCTAGGGAAAGGGAGAAAGGGCAGGAAACTCAGTAGACAGGCAAGGCTTGGCAGGGGCCGCCTCCAGGTTAGCGGGATGGCCAGGTTTAGGTCCTTGAAGCGGGTGGAAGCACCCAGCCTTCTGTGGCTCGGCTTCCTGCCCCCCCCCATGAGGCTTTTCTGTGGTCAGTTTGCTCCTCCAGCACAGGAGGCGTTGCTGGGTCCCATGGGCCTCTCAGAAGGTGTGAGGACTTGGGAGAAGGGAGGAAAAATGGACTGGATGAGCAACTCACCCAACTGTTCTGTCTTGTTCTGGACTTCTTTCTCAGGATTGGGTGGCTCAGCTAAGGGGGTGACAGGAGCCTTCCCTGTGTAGGATGGGGGAGTGTCAGCTTAAAGAGGTAAAGCATCAGGGAAGGGAGGAAATAGGGCAGAGGAAGCAGGACAAGCAACTAGGCAATGAAGGAGAAAATGGATGAATCAGTAGCCAGGAGAGGATAAAAAACCAACAAAAAGATAAGGGTGAAGGGAAAAGCTATGCTATTAGAACTGGTAGGGCCTGAGAGTCATCTTGGGCAAGTCCAGCAATAGGCAACAGAACAGGACCAGACTTGGCTCCCTGTCTTGACTGACCCGGGAAGTGGGAAGCCCCAGAAATGTGGGAGGGGCACTGAAAAAAGAAGCTGAGGTTGAATGGAAGCTGCTGCTGCGGTGAGCAGGAGGTGGCAGGTCTAGCTGGGAGAGGAGATTACCACTCAAGTAAGAATTGACAGATGTGTAGGAATTTATTTTCGGTGGCAGCCTAATTAAAGTGTTAAAGTTCCTTAACTCCATTCAGCCCTGCGCCAGGATCGTTAGCTATTGATCCGGGCCCCTCCAGCACTTAACTCCAGCCAGCATATTGGCAATTCAATTAGCACCAGTCAATGCTGCCTATTTCTGGCTCCTGCTGCCCATGCCCTCGCCCTTGCCCACTGCTGGCTCTCCAGAGCTCGACACCCATGCCCACCTCTGATAGCCCCTTCCAGGCTCTTTTCCTGTACCCTCTGGAGCAGTGATGCCTGGCTGGCTGTTTCCAGCCTCTGCTGGTACAGTCTTAGCTGCCTAAGGGGAACTCTAAGTCCAACCTTAGGGCCAAAGACCTCCTAGGACAGGAAGAGGCTGGGAAGCTTATCAGAGGCTTCTTCCCATCCCTGCTGTCTTTGGACTATGTCCACAGCTCCCATCTCCTTCCAACAAGTCCTGGCCCAGCACAAAGCAGGTTCCAGTCTGCCACCCCAGACATCTAGTGTTGTTAGGACACTAGTCACTGCTCAGAATCACTGGGTGATTCCTCCTCACCTCCCTTCCTGTTTTCTGTTCTCTACCCAGCAAAATCCCTGCCCTTCTCTAACTCTCCTCACTCAGCAGCCCCCACCGGGCCTGTCTTATCCCTTCATATCTTCTAAGCACTTGCTATTGATGGCCCAGACCCATTCTCCCTCCTTGTATCCTTTTCTCCTCAGCTCCCCGCACCCTGGTGGCCCCCCTGCCCAGTCCTTATTCTCCAGTCCCCTCTTCCTCACCGGGAGTCCGGAGCTGCCCATGGCTGAAACTCAGGATGTTCTGGAGAGCTGAGAGTCCTTCCTCAGCTGCTGGGCCATTCTGAAGCAGCTGCAGACGTCTCTGGGCCTGGGCATCACGGTGGGCAGGTGCGCGTAGGTGTTGCAGCACAGCCAAGCGGGAGGGTGTCTCCCAAGCACACAGCAGGCAGTGGTACAGCCCCAGCTCTGCCCCTGCCTCTGCTCCCTCCATTTCCAGCAGAAACTAGAACCATGGCAAGAGGCTGGCTCAGGCTCAGAACGGACACCTCCAGATCTCAGGGGACTTCTTTGCCTCCCCCAGGGAGCCTGACTAGCAGCACCCTCCTCCCTACCCACTCCTTCTACCCCTTAGACCCCCTCCTTACCCTCCTAGTATCACTAGAGTCCCCTGAGTATTACTGCTTGTCTTCTCCTCTTCCTTCTACCACTCCTGGACTCCCTCCCAGTATGTGAATGGAATCTGGTTCCATCCTCTTGAACTTCTGGTGACATGATGGACTGAGCTGATCCAGACTCCTCCCTCCAGCCCGAACACCAGAAGAGCTGAATAAAGTCTTTGTTTCACTTCATCAGAGTCCTCTATCCTTTTGTCTCTTTCTCCATGTCTGTCTAAACTCTTTGTTACCCTGGTGCATACTTCCCTTTTTCTCCATTTCTGTAACCCTAGGTTTTCCCATCACTTCCCTACTCTGCATCTCCTCCTTCCATCCCCATCCCCTTCTCCTCTTTCCTGCCCTGGCCCACCCCAGCCTCACCTTATAGATCTGGCTGTTTTCTTCATGGGCTGCTCCCCTGGCGTGCAGCTGCATCTTCTCCTTGCTGTTGGACTCAAAGTCACAGATGTTGCAGCGCAGGTGCAGTGGGGAGGCAGACCCATAAGGGGCCCCATCTCCTAGGGGCACCAGGGAGGGGGTGCCCGTGGCCCCACCACCCTCCCGCAGGTGGGCTGCTAGCTGGTACTTCTGAGCATGTTTATCAGTCTTAAGGTGGAGTTGGAAGTTGGCCTTGAGCTGGGTGCCGTAGCAGCAGAGCTTGCAGCGGTGGGTGTCACCAGCCACCTCCTTCCATTCAGCTTCAGGGAGGCTTCGGCCTACACTGCAGTGGTACAGCAGTAGCTCCAGGCTGTCTGTGCTGAAGGCCTGGCACACTAGGCAGCGGAATACCCTCAGGGACGGGCTGTCATCTGGGGGTGGCGAGGTGGGCATGCCATCAGATGAGCCCAGGAGCTGACTTGGAGGCAGGTGGGCATCAGGGGAGAGGCTGCCAGGGGCTAGGGGACAGAAACAGATTAGTGGCCCAAGGAAGAAATGGGGCAGGGTCAGTTTGCTATATGGAGGGGTGAGCTAACGAGTGGGACAGTGCTCAGAGGGAACCTAAGTAGGGAGTTGGCCTTTGGTAAAAAGCAGGGAATAGAGTGTGGCCCTGGGGAGGAGAGAAAGGGGAAGAGGAGCAGAGTTCAGGGAGCTTACCAGGTGTGGGGAATTTGCGGGCAGGTGCTCCAAGGTGGTGAAAACCATTGAGAAGCAGCTGGGCTTCCAAAGGCTTGTCTGGCCTCAGCCCGGGGCCAGACAAGGGAGTCTGAGGCTGTCCTAGGGCCTGGGGACCAAAGTACTGGAAGAGTTCAGGGGGGTTGGTGGGGGCAGTCCCTTGTGGTGGAGGAGGGCCTGGCCCCACCAGCCCAGGTGGCAGGCCCAGTGGCAGCCCCTGGTGCAGCATTAGGACATTCTGCATGTGCTTCTCAGAGGTCATATGGATACGTAGGTTTCGGGAGATGTTTGTCTCATAGCTGCACACCTTGCACTGCCAGGATGATTTGGTCTTGGGCTCTTTGTCCCCCGCAGAGGGCGGGAGTGATGCCTCTGGGGGACTTCCCTGCCCACCGGGGCCTGCCTGGAAGCCTTGCAGGTTAGCCAGGTGCTTGTCGGACTGCATGTGGATGCTGAGGTTTCCCTTGGTGGTGGTGGAGTAGTTGCAGACGTCGCAGCGGTAGGGCTTGTAGCCACAGTTGTAGCTCTCTCCACGAGCGAGGCGGGGGTGGGCCCCCCCAGCACTGCAGTAGCTGCAGTGACTGTTGCTCTCAGGGTGTTTCTCTCGCATGTGCACATCCAGGGTCTGCTGGTACTTGTAGTGCCAGTTGCACTTGGGACACTTGAGTGTCTTGCAGGAGTTACGAGAATGTAGCAGGGACATGTGACTGGACAGGCTGAGCCCCTGGAAGGCTGCAGGGGCTGGGGTGTAGTCGTCAGCCAGGCGGTAGGGCTGGGGTGGGTCATTGGGGTCTTCAGGGGAGCCCACTGGGGTGGGGAGACTGCCCCCTTCCTTGGAGGTGGGTGAGCTTTGGTTGAGTGGGGGGCAGAGCCCTCCATCCTCTTCTTGCCCTTCAGGGAACCAATCTGGCCCTGCCTCGCCTGCTGCTACTGGCGATTCTTTGGCTTGGGTTGGGCTGGGGTCCCAGGTGGCTGGGGTTGTGGGTGGGGAGAATGGGTTGAGGGCCATGACTTCTTCAGTGGGAAGGACAAGGGTGTGGACTTCTGCCTCAGGGGGACCATCCTCCGTCTGGGCTACATTCGCCTCTGTGTTCAGTGTGCTGCCGTTGTCAAAGGGTATTTCAAAAGGGGGGTGAGCAGGGTGTTTTGGTTCCAGAAAGCTTATGAGGGCCATGCAGCCCTCATCCCCTTCCTGGAGCACGGCTGGGCTGCCTGGCAGGCCCTGGTGTTGGGCAGGGGTTAGTTTCACCCCATGAGACTGTGTATGACCCATAAAGGCCTGGGGCCTGCTAAAACCCAGGCGGCACAGAAGGCAGAGCCAGAAGAGTGCCATGTGGTCTCCCCCACTGTTCCCCATGGGGCCATCTTTGGGATCTCCGGGTGGGTTTGCAGCCAGCTGGTAGCTCCAGAAGGCGCCATCCCTTCCCTCACAGGCAGCCGGAGATGGCGCTGAGGTATCGTGGGACAGAATTTGGTCAGAAGAGCTAAAGCCTTGGATTAGATCAAAGCCATGTTGGATATGAAGGGCAGTGAGGTGTGTGAGGGGTGGGTGGGCAAGGAGGGACAGGCTGGGCTCTTCCTTGATGCCTGCCTCGCCCCAGGGGGAGCCCTTTGGTAGCAGTTCACTGCCGCCTGGCAGAGGCAGCTTGGCCACTAGGTAGGCCTCACTGCCAGCTGTGAATAGGTGGTTGCTTAGGTCCACGGGAGGGAGTCCTTCCTCCTCCTGCTCCTTGTCCTTCTCTACCCCCAGGTCCTTTGGTGGGAAGTGACCACAACCAGGCCCTTCTTGGGGCTCCTCAATCTCCTTTGGTGGGACAAGGCCACAGCCTGACTCCAGGGGCTGTCCCCCTGGCTCTGAGGGCCTCATGCTCTCAGAGGGGGAGGGGGCAGCAGGGGGATCTTTGGTGACAAGATCAGAGGGGGTGCTGGAGGAGGAGGTGTCCGGAGCCGGGGACGGGGCATTGTGCCCAGGGGAGGGGGTGTTGCCAGCGGTGGAGGCTAAGTTAAGGGTGGCCATGGTAGACGGAGGAGTGCTGGGGGTTCATTTCAGCGTGACGGCCAGTACCCTGCAGGGAAACACCAAGAGAGCAGTGCTGTGAGGCTGCAGGGACACCTGCCAGGCAGCTGAATCTCTGGATACTGCAGTCCCATCCTCTTTCATGGACATCAGACTCACCCGTTTGCCAACCAGAAGCTTCACTTAGTGTCTAATAGGCTTCAAAACTTAACATGTCCCAAACCAGAACTCTTTATTTGTCCTCTGGACCTGCTCCTTTCTATCTTTCCTACCTCAAACATTGGTACCATTTATCCAGTTGCTTAGGCTGAAAACCTAAAAGTTTTCTCTTGTCCTTCCCTTATCCAGTTTGGCAGCAACCTCTAAAACGTGTCAAATCCCTCCACTTTTCTTCTTCACTGGCACCAGTGTGGCCCAAGCCATTATCATCTCTTTCCGGAATTAATACAATGGACTCCATGTTGGCCTCCCATCTTCCACTGCTGCCCCCTACAATCTGTTTTCCCTCCACCAGCAGCCAGAATGAGGGCTCAGGTCTGCTTGATTGCTCTGCCGTTAGCACATAGAACTTGCCTGACTCACAGTTAATAGATGTCTTTGAATAACAGAACACTGGGAGAGACCCTCAGATTTTCTGTGACCTGAAGAGGTAAATTCCCTAGTTAAGGTCTTCTTGCCAGAGATAGGCCATAACTGATTTCCCATGGCATGAGGTGCCATGCTGCTCTCAGATGCCTTCCAGATCCATCTGTGGTCACAAGCATATGGAATAGATGGGAGCTTCCCTGGCCAGTTGAAAGACAATAGCTTATATGTTGCCTCCTTCTCCCCAAAGAGATTTAAAAAAAAATAATAGTAATAATATTACTAATAGTTATTAAGGTACATCTACCATGGTCCTGGCACTATGCTAAATGCTTTACATCAATCATCTCATTTAATCTCACAGCAACCTTATTTTATAGATAAGCAGCTAAGAACAAGTTAAGTAAGCTACTGATGGTGACACTGCTCCAAAGAGGGGAAACTAGAGAAGGACCAGCCAAACACCAAGTAAACAGCAAAGCTGTGGCCTAGACTCCTCCGTCCAGCTGGACACAATAAAGGCCACACAAACCTCCAAAGGTTTAGAAATCAGGACTCCCAGGCAACCTCCAGCTCACTAGAAGCAGCAAGGCTGTCATCCTTTTGTTTACTGGGATCTTACCCTCTAACTCACCACATTCCCATGCCTCCCCATTCCATACTCCTCCCAGGGTCCCAAGTGGCCCATCTACATACTCTCCAGCTGCCCATATCAGCAGATCTCTAATGATTAAACTTCTAATGCTCAGGCCAGAGTGCTTTGGGGAAGGGTGAGGGGTGTGGTCTCTCTTTCCTTGGGCCACCTCTAACCCTCACCCCCAGATTCCTAGGTCTGAAATGGGTCCTTAGTCTGGCCCCACACAGCCTGTAGGCCCCATTCCCGCTTCCCTCCTCCTCCAGGGAGTCTAGCCAGGCGTGAAGTCAGAGCCATTAAGGAGCTCGGATTGGGGCTGGATTAGCATGCTAATGAAAATGCAAATCAGCACCTGGAAAAGGGGTGAAGGTGATGGAGAGGTGGGGGGGAGTTAGAGAACCAAAGGGGAAGTGAAGGAATTGGACCAAGGGGCAGTCGGTTCCTAGATAATCAGAAAGCAGAAGCCCTAATATTGTGGGAGAAAGGTATTCTTCCAACAGAATCCTTGGTGAGGGAGAGGAGGTAAGCGTGCTGGTTTGTGTGGGTCTGACGTTTCACTGTCATTCCCACAGGGGGAGCCCCACCACCCTTTACCCCACCTGGTGGGAAGGAATGAATCCGGGCAAGAGAGGCCTATCCTGGTCCCTGGCTGAGGGCTCAACACTGGCAGATGCTCTCTCCTAGCTGGTCTAAGCAGTAGAGCCCACCTGCCTACTTCAGCCAGCTCCTTCCTGGCTCCTGACTTGCAACTCTAGATCACGGTTCAGAGGAGGGCTAGGCAGACCTAAGCCCCACATCTTGCAGTAACTCCCAGATTCTCTCTCCAAAGCATCTGCTTCCCAGGACTGGAAAAAGAGACACGGCTGATTCCTAGCTAGAAACCAAAGGAGCTTCGATTTTGGCTAGCTTGTGGGTGAGACTCAGCTTGGCCAGGGTAGGTCAGCAGCTGTTTAAAATTGCAAATCTCTTCCCCACCACCCAACCTAACACTCCTCCTCTTCAGGAAAGAATTTCAATTGCAAATTTATCTCTGCCTCAGTGCATTTCCACCCCCCCCCCATCCACTGCCACCAATTCCTCCTCCCCCTTTCTTCTCGGTGCTTCTCCCATCACCCACTATTTATTACAAACCTTTAGCTGCAGCAATTAGTTTTTCACTTTTTTCCTTCTTCTATGTCCCTCCTCTATCTTAACTTCCTTCCCTCCCAGAATCTCTAGGTCCCTTTCTTTGCCCTTCCCACCTTGAACTAGAGACCTTGCGGAAACATACAACAGGCCTAAAAATCATCCCCCACGTGCCTCCCCAGCTCAAGATTCTTGTTCATCCTCAGGCCCATAGCCATTCATTCTTCCCTTTAGTTCCCTGCTTTCCTTAAGGGCATCACCCTTGGAACACATCTCAAATGTGGGTAAAGGGACAAGGCGACCCCTCAAAGGCCCTGTCATTCCTGCTTCTGGAGGAGGGAAGGAAGAAGAGGGTGGATGTGGTCTGGAGTGGAGGTGGGGGGGAACAGTCAAAAGGAAAGACCTAGGTAGAGGTGAGGGCTGGGGGCCTTTGCGGAGGAGAGGGGTTAGGGGAGACAGAGCAGGCAGTGGCAGTGGTGTGATTAGAGAGGAGATTGATGGGAAGGGGCGCCACAGACGGCAGAGAGAGTCAATAAAACGAGAGGATCACATTAGAGGCGACAGAGAGAGCTTTAAATTACAAGGCTGCTGCCACTGAGGGGGATGGGAGGAGGGAAGCCTGGAGCCATGGGAGGGTGGAGAGTTCTGAGGGTGTAGTCATCCCCTGAGATGAGTGTTCCAGCTCCAAAATGGCCCTCAGTCTCTAAAGCTCCCTGCTGTCCCTTCATTCCTCCCTCCCTCTCTAATGAGTCCTTTCCTCACTAGAGGGAGGGCAGGAGGAAGGAGAAGATGGAGAGAAGGCTGTAGAGAAACAGAAGAGATTTTTTATCCCCTTTTGGTATTGCCCTCTTTCTCCTTCCAGACCTGGGTCTCTGGTCATTCCCCAGGATGAGAAGGGAAAGATGGAAGTGCTACCTTCAAAACTCAGCTAGGGAGTCATTGTTCCACAGACACACAAAATACAGAGTCTTAACACCTTGGGAGGTGGGCAGATATACAGTACTTAGAAAGGGAAGACACCAGGGAGCCAGGAGGCTGCAAGACACATGCTAGGACCCAGAAAGCTACAGAAATGGGGAGAGGTTATGAGACAGACAGGAAGGCTCGGGTGTGAAGTTGCAGAAAAAGAAGTAGAAAGCTGAAAAGGCAGGCTCTGAGACCAAGCAAGACAGGCAGACACAGTGAGACTTAAGAACCCAAGAATTACCAGAGTCAAACGGACAAGGGCAAAGGAAGGACCAAAAACATGAAGTCTGAGGAATCTGCCCCTCACTGAAGAGTAGCCAGGGTGTGGTTCAGGCTGGATGGTACCGACTGGTACAACTAGAGGGGGTTCCAGGGGAAAGCAAGACCAGGATTTCCCTTGGTACAGCCCCCTCCCACCTCTGGCCCACCAGGAGAGAAAAAAACACTACTGCTCCCTAGTGGTTACAGAGGGAACATCATCAAGGAGGGTGCAGGCTTGATGGGGGGCCTGATGAGTGCCTGACTGGCTTTCTCCTCCTCAACTCCCCTCCAAAAACCAGAAAACAAACCCCACACTCTCCTTTCCTCCAAACCCAACCACATGGCAAAGGCTTTCACTGGCAGTGCAGCAGTCTATCAGGACACCATCAAGTTTGCTTAAAATTTGCATACAATGATTTCCACATCAGAACCTTCTAAACATTTTTGCCTTTCACTTTTCCAATTGTTTGATCTACCCACTTTTCCTTACTCAGAGCCAATTGTAGGGCCTTTACTTTTTTCTTTCCTCTCTCTGAAATTCTTGTCTAAGGCATTGCTCTCTTCCACACTCACTCTGCTCTTGTCTTTCTCCCCCTTTTGTCTCAACCTGTTGCTTCCCAGAGGAGGCAGCCATGGAGAGAAGAGAAAGAGTAAAGATGAAGTATGTGTGCTCCTAACAAGGGGGATTGTTTAGCATAAACAGCAAATAAAATCTTAACTAGATAAACTTCATTTATTTTTTAAGGCAGTAGAAGAACATGGGCTTTGGATCGACCCAGAACCAGATTAATTCCTGGCTCTACCACTCACTAGCTGTGCAACCTTGAGAAGTTACTCATGGAGTCTCAGTCTCCTTGTCTAGAAAAATGGGAATAAGGAAGCCTTCCTTACCCAGTTGTGAAGACCAGAATAGGTAATGTGCAAAGTACATAATACTGAGTGTTCAGTTAGGGTAGTTCTTTCCCTCTCTTGGCTGTCTCCTCCTATAGAGCAGAGCAAGATGTTTGCACAGAGACTGACAACTTTCCTCAACTCCCCTGCAAAAACCAGAAAACAACCCCCTCCCTCCATTTTCTCCAAACCCAACCACATGGCAAAGGCTTTCGCAGGCAGGGCAGCAGTCTTGACCAAGACTCATCATCTACTCTCTACCCTTAGTGAGGGCAGAATCTTAGGTAAACAAGATTTAAATCTAGTCTACCCAGCAGCAGAGTTCACTTATTACTTGGCTCTCTTGATTGCTGGACCTAGAGATACCTATCATTACCCCAGAGCAAAGAGTGGAAGCTTGGCCAAGGCTTACACTTAGACAGGGTGCAAAAGTAGCTACAACCTGGATCAAAACTATTCTGGCCTTTCCCTGCATTTGTTTTTGTTTTTTTTCTTCTCTCTGTCCTACCCTTTCCAAGTCATCGTACATTTAGAACTATCATTACCTCTGTCTTTAAATCTTACCTTCTATATTAAGAAGAAAACTAAACCAACCCCCCCCCCAGTAATCCTGTTCCTCCATTTATTTATATTCTCTCTCTCCTAGGGCTCTCTCTTCCCCCTTTCTATAAATATTTAGGGAGTGCTTACTTTGTGCAACATAAGTTTTCTCCAAAAGAGAGACAGAGGCCGGGCACGGTGGCTCACGCCTGTAATTCTAGCACTCTGGGAGGCCAAGGAGGGTGGATTGCTGGAGGTCAGGAGTTTGAAACCAGCCTGAGCAAGAGCAAGACCCTGTCTCTACTATAAAAGAAAGAAATTAATTGGCCAACTAATATATATAGAAAAAATTAGCTGGGCACGGTGGTGCATGCCTGTAGTCCCAGCTACTTGGGAGGCTGAGGCAGTAGGATAGCTTGAGCCCAGGAGTGTGAGGTTGCTGTGAGCTAGGCTGAAGCCATGGCACTCACTCTAGCCTGGGCAACAAAGCGAGACTCTGTCTCAAAAAAAGAAAAGAGATAGAAAACCAGTATGGCAGAGAATGAGATAGACGTGAGAAAAGGAGTGTTGTAGAAGATAAAGCAACAGCTAAGGCAGAGAAGAGGAGGGAGGAAGAAGGGAGGGAAAGAGGGAGAGGTAGGCAAGTGAGGAGGGAATGAAGTTGGATCTGGATTTGCTTATGTAAATAATGAATCTCTTCCAGTCCTCCTAGCTCTGGCACCACATTGAGCAGGTGGGCAGGAGGGATTGGGTACAGTGTGAGAAGGGAAGCTATAGACAGAAACCACACCCATCCATGTTTTCATGGATTTGTTGAGGTGTGCTGCAGAGTGTCTGCTACTCTGCAGGGTGGGTGTCCATGAGAGGAGCCTCTTGCCCAGGCATCTCCTTCAGTGTTAGATGTGTTAGGACAGCAGTGTGGAGCTGCTCTGCTGCGCTGATCTGTGTGATCTGTACACTGGAGAGACTCACATTCTATTGGATGTGGTTCTCATGTACTACATACCTCAGGCTTAGACAACCGCATGAAGCCAGCTCGGAACCCTTTACTGTATGAGCACTCAGTAGTGAAAAGACAGGGAGTTGTGCCCTTGAATTCAGAATCAGGATCCTGGCGTGAGGACCTCTTTAGAAGAGATATTATGTGAATCTGTGTGATGGAATGACTCAATTTAAATACTGTTACAACAACAACAACCAATTATAATAATAAAATAATAGCCAACAGCTTTAAATGTTTACCATGTGGTGGCCACTGTGCTAAGCCCTTAGCAAGTATCACATCACCTAATCTTCTGCTACAATATGATGTAATAGATCCAGCTATTCATTTCCATTTTACATGGAAACAGATGGGTTAAGTTATTTTTAAGGTCTCCCACTTAGAAAGAAGTAGAATCACTGAGAATGGAACTCAGGTAGCCTGCTGCTCTTACCACCGCCCCCCCCCCCAATACACACCTCTGCTTTTGCTCTTGGGTTAATTTGTAAGCTTCTGAACTCTGGCTGGTATGAATTTTGAATGAGGGCTTTGAGTTTGAGTATGTTATTCTGCCCTTATGCCTGTCACTTTGGGCACATGTGCCATCCTGCTCTTTGAGTTTAAAGTTGCTAGAGGGCTGTTTCCCAGTTAGTTTGTTTCCTAGCATAAGATGGTCCCAAACAGGACCACTGCTTTATGAAACTCCAGGGGGCGCCATCCACACAGCAGTCTATGCAGGGGCACTGACCATTCTGATTATGTGTATGGAGAGAGAGAAGGGGGAAATAGATATGGCAGGTAGTATTATTTGAATGATGATATGTGTACTCATTTGTGATGTCTCTTAAATGTGAAAGTCTACACATGTGTATCCATATTAGCATATGAACTTTATCAAACAAGCAGTATCGAGGCCAGGCACAGTGGTTCACGCCTGTAATCCGGGCACTCTGTGAGGCTGAGGCAGGAGGATTGCTTGAGCCTGGGAGTTTGAGACCAGTGTGGGCAACATGGTGAGACTCCCCATCTCTACAAAATTTTACAAAACAGCCTTTAGAATCAGACAGACCTGGAATCAAATTCTAGTTCTATTCCTTAATATGTAAATGACCTCAGGTAAGTGTTTTAAAGCCAGCCTCAATTCAGTTTCTTCATATAGATAATGGGGATTAGTATCTCATGGAGTTGTGTCCACTGAGGTGATCATTATGGAGACTGACACTTTGGATGTGATCAATAAATGGAAATGATAATTATTCATCCACATGCATTATTTCTTCAGTTGGGGAGTATGTGTATGTTTATTGCTTTTTGATTGTGTTGGGGGAACTGGTAGCCTGGGTTTAGCCCTGTCTCAGACCTCTCTTTGGGGTTAGCGAAGGTGATCACTTTTGGCCCCTGGCTGGATTTCCCCTAGGCTCTCTAGTTACACATGTGTGGGCCCCGGGCTGCTCGTTCAGCAACGGGGTGTCCTATGCGGGTGTGTTGCTGTGTGCCTGTGTGCTTGGTGGCGCGGCTGGCGAGGGAGTGTTTGGGGTGGTGGTAATTACTGGGATGGCCCAGCCCTAATGAGTGTGATCTTGTTACACTCCCGCCGCCTCTAATGGAGCTAACCTCATTTCACAGCCATTAGAGATGGAGATGAGGCCCCGCCTACCGGCCCCGCCAGCTGCAGCTTTTGCAGCCCTGGCCACGTTCTTTCCCTCTGGCTCGCCATTTCTCCATGCTACCTCTCCTTCTCCCTCCTTTTTTTTTTCTTGCTTCTCCTTCCAGGTTTCCCTGTCCTGTTCCCTATTGTTCTTCTCTCTATCCGTCTTTCCACACCTCTCCCCTTTTCCCTTCTCCTTTCACATCTCCCTCTCCTCTCCTCTTCTTTCCTGCATTCCTGGATTCCTCTTCCCTTCACTCAGCACCCTCCCTTTTCTCTCTCCTGGTCG